TATGCAGATCAAAAGTTGCAGGTTGCAGAATTGTCAACATTACTGGCACAAGATATTTGGTCATCGTGATGTCAACGCAATTAAGCTTATGCAGAACAAGGACATGGTAAGCGATCTCAAATTAGTAAATTGCGGAATACAGAAAATTTACGAAACTTGTGTGCAAAATAAACTGGCAAGGAGACCGTTTACTGAGTCAAGCATAAAGTCTCAGTCGGTTATGGATCTGGTGCATACCGATGTTTGTGGACCCATGCAAACTGTAACACCGGGAGGCAAACATTATTTTTTAACATTTATCGATGATTATAGTCGATATTCTGTAATATACTTGCTTCAGAGTAAATCAGAGGTCATTGCTAAATTGAAGGTTTATATGGAGTTTGTAAGGAATAAGTTTTCAAAGTATCCAAAAGTTATAAGGTCGGATAATGGTGGGGAATTTCGTTCGAAGATGTTAGAAGATTTCCTGGACAGTAAAGGTGTGCAGCGACAGTACACTGTACCTTACACTCCGCAGCAAAATGGTGTTGCTGAAAGAAAGAATAGAACTCTAGTCGAAATGGCGAAATGCTTGTTAGAGGAAGCAAAGTTATCAAGTTTGTTTTGGGGAGAAGCGATTGTCACAGCAAATTATTTGCAAAACCGAGCAATAACGAGCGCAATAAATTGCACGCCTTATGAGAGATGGGAAGGTAAAATCCCAAGCATAAAGCATTTCAGAGTATTTGGTTCAAAGGTGTATGTTTTAATCCCAAAGGAGAAACGGAAAAAGTTTGATCACAGGTCGGAGTTACTTACTTTTGTAGGATATGATGAACATGCGAAAGGTTACAGATTGGTGGACGGGAATACCAAGAAAATAACCATTAGTAGAGACGTGGTGTTTCTAGATGAGGCGGAAGTTGGAGGCAATTCAAATGAATTTTTGAAAGAATATTCAGAAGTAGAAATTGGTGTACTTAGTCCTTCAAATCGTACAGTTGAACAGGCTCGGAAAGATTCAATATTGTCAGGTGTTCAGTCTGAAGATGAAAATTCGTTTCGAAGCTTAGACGGTGAAATAGAATCAGTTGGCACCTTAGAAGAACATCAATGTGAAGCGAATATTCAAGATGTCAATAATGACAAAACCGATAAAGTTTATGATAATATTAATAAAATACGTCCCGTTCAAGAATTAGAGCCTCGAAGATCTTCTAGGTCAACAAAGGGAAAAGCAGCGATGCGCTTGGGTTATAAAGTAAATATTGAAATTGTAGAGCCTAAGACCTATAAAGAAGCGATGAAATCTGATCAGCGTGATGAGTGGATTAAGGCAATGAAGGAAGAATATTCATCATTTGTAACGGCGAGGACATGGGAGTGGGTAGTACCTCCTAAGGATTCGAATATAGTTAGCTGCAAATGGACTTATAGAATAAAACGTGACGAGAACGGTAAAATAAGTCGTTATAAAGCTCGCCTTGTTGCAAGGGACTTCAGTCAAAAATATGGTTTTGATTATGACAAGGTTTTCGCACCAGTTGTTCGACAGACGACTTTCAGAATTTTATTGAGCATTGCCGGTTTGAAGAATATGGTGGTAGTCCACATTGATGTGAAGTCAGCATTTCTTAATGACATTTTGGATGAAACTATATATATGAGCCAACCCCCAGGATTTCAGGAAGGGGATACTAAACTTGTGTGTAAGCTAACGAAAAGTTTATATGGCCTTAAACAGACAGCGATCGTTTGGAATAAAACTTTGCACAATGTACTTGTGACAGGAGGATTTATACAGAGCAAATCTGATGCATGCCTGTATACAAAATGCATCAACGGGGAAGGAATAATATATGTATTAGTTTACGTTGATGATATTTTAATTGCAAGCCAGAAGAAAGATCGTATTGTAGAAGTAGAAAAATTACTTGCTAGAAAATTTGAAATTAATAATCTCGGAAACGTTAAATACTATCTTGGAATGGAAGTTGTTAATGATAAAAACAACAATTTCTGTATACGACAGCGCAAACATATTGAGGATGTTCTAAATGAATTTGGATTAAAAGATTCCAAAATTTCAAGTTATCCTTTGGATCCTGCATATGGCAAAAACAACTCGGAACTTTTACAATCAAATACTCAATATCAACGACTAATAGGATCACTGCTGTATATAAGTGTTAACTCAAGACCGGATATAGCAGCAAGTGTTTCTATTTTAGCAAGAAAAGTTAGTAATCCAACCCAAGAGGATTGGAACGAAGCCAAGCGGGTACTTAAATATCTTAAGGGAACTATTCAATTTTACTTACGATTAAGTGACACTCATACAAGAAATAATGCTTTGATTGGTTATGCTGATGCAAATTGGGCTGAAGACAGGTCCGATCGCAAATCAAATTCTGGTTACATTTTTCAATTTAATGGTGGCTCCATAAGTTGGTCATGCAAGAAACAGACATGCGTTTCACTTTCATCCACAGAAGCCGAGTTTGTGGCATTATCCGAAGCATGCAAAGAAGCGTTATGGATTCGTCAATTACTTGCAGATTTGTACGTAAAGCAACCTTTACCTACTGTCATTTACGAAGATAACCAAAGCTGTTTAAATTTAATCAAAGAGGAGAAGTTTAGTTGTCGGACCAAGCACATTGATACTAAAATCTATTTCGTCAAAGATCATATCAGTAAAAGCGATGTCAAATGTATTTATTGTCCAAGCGAGAATATGATGGCCGACATGTTAACAAAGCCTTTACCAGCGGTTAAGTTAATCAAACTACGTTCAGCTGCTGGATTACTTCTCAATTGAGGAAGGGTGTTGGATATACTTATCAATTTCAATGTACTTGTAATATTTATACTTTTCTAGTTATAGTTCGATCTACTCAAAGAAGCTTTTATTGAACTATCAGTAGTCTTTCAATTGGAGAAAATAATTTTTTCATTACGTTGTAAATGTGTTGTCATGTTGAATTAACTCTTCTTTACTTGAATAAAAGTGTAAAATAGTGGTGCTTGTGATATAAACAAACGCTCAGCTGATGAACCCGCTTTCGCAAACTTTTTTCTCAAAACCAGTTACAAATACAACGTCGCGTTCTTACGTGATCTTGTATTTTTGGTTAATGTATGTAGTTGTTTAAAAATGTGTGGGACTGCCTTGAGGCCCAGATTGAGCAATGATATAGTTGCAGCAATACCAGCTCTGATCCAATACTTTTCGTGAAAAATCCTGTAAAACTGTCAAACGGCAAAATTACTCTGAAGTGAGAGTAAAAGGTGAGTAACAACAAAAAGCACGTGAACAAAAAAAAAACATTTTTCCTGTAAAAACGTAAACCTGTGAGTGATTGGCACTTTTCATGATTTTACCAGAAGAAATAGTTCGGGTAAAATCTTGCAACTTCATTCTCTACACAATTCTCCAAAAGTCGCCCTCATTTACCGGATTTTGGAGGGTTTTGGAGTACGGGAACACTTTTCCTGCAACATCCTGCAAGTTCGTGTAAAATCCTGTAAGTTCATGGAGTACTGGATCAGAGCTATTATATACAAACCATGGCATAAAAAACAACGGTGATACTTTTGGGGTGTTCACAGTTCGTTCCAAATTGTGTCTGAAAATGTAGACGTCTACATTTTGAGACATTTTTAGCATCAAACTGTGAGCACCCCTTTCTAGCAGTCGTCGCAAAATCGTCTCAAAACTTTGCTGGTGTTGCCAGACATTTCTTGTTTGCGTGCATTGTTTATATGTCGCCTTTCGATTTTGTTTCTGAAAAATTGTAATTATTTAACTTTATTACCAATTCGTAATATTTGTTATTCCTTTTCCTTGATTTGTTTCTTTTCATCAGAAATTGCGCTCAAATTAAATGCAAATACGGAAAACGTGCCCAATAAATAAAAAAAATGTGATTAGTATTGCCATAATGCAACCCTGCTGCGAGGTTGCAAAATGTAGACGCGTAAAAAACATACCTTTGAGTGTGACAAAATGTAGACGGCGTCGTTTTCCAATTTTGTATGGGAAACAACAACACCACAGATTTTACGGTTAGAAAACGTCTTAAAATGTAGACGTCTACATTTTGAGACACTATTTGGAACGAACTGTGAACACCCCATTTGTTTGAACCGTAAGAAAACATGTACCAATTGAATTGGAGATTCTAACTAATTTTTACACTAAGTATGTACCTGTAAATAGTATGCAGTACACAATACTCATATCAAAAGAAAATTTTAAGTAATTTGTTCGGATTTTGAGGATGTTTCATTTGCTTTTGAGGAATTTGGTAATTTTTTGTGACGAATTTTGTATGGATAAATGTACTTTTTTAGTAGCATTTAAAGCTAAATGCCAGGGCATTATGGGCTGTTTTTGCTTACGCGTAAAAGCACATTTAGCGCATTCAACTCTAAATGTACATTTTCCATACAAAATTCGTCACCTAAATGCACCTAAATGCAACACCATTTTTGCATTAAGAATCTAAATGCTAAAAACAACCCTGTGATATTCCAAAATTTCCACGATTCGAACATAGTTTAATGAGAAAAAGTTGCAACATTGCTTTTTCGCGTATACAGTGGCTAGCTGCGTTTCAGTGATCGCCGATCGTTATTTCATTTATTATTTTATATTTTTTGGATAAAGAAAAGTTACGCAAAGTCAACATCGATGTGATGCTGATAGAAATCTGGATCAATGTTTGATCAACTCTGTTTGTTTTGTTTCCTAATTAAGTGAGGAAATTTTAATTGACAGCAGCGACAAATGAATACATACACAAACAAATTTTTGGTTTGTTTGACACTTTTCAGGATTTTGCCAGAAAAAATTCTTCTGACTAAATCTGACTACTTCGGACTGATGAGAGTCACTCTCACTGACTGTGCTCTCTCATTTTTGCTGTCATTTCCGAGTTAAGGAACGCTTTTTGGACTAAATCTGACTACTTTGGACTTTTTCTGACTATTTCTGGGAGATAAGGAACGCTCCTAGTAGAAGGCCAGTAATTTTGACGTTTGATAATGCACCGTGAATAGTAAACAATGGCAGAAGAAGAGCGGTAAAAAGTAAACAAAAGAAACAATCTTTTGCCTATGACCAATTTGTAAGTTTATAACAACATTTTTCCTTAAATTTATTAAAGTACATTTTAATTTATTTTGATTCAATTTCAGGAGATAGTTTTCACTGATATCGGAACATCACTATATCTACCGAAGAAATCGATTTGTCGGACAGTCGACTTTTAAAAGTATTAAAATTGTACCATTTTTTATATTGAAATATTTTCGACATCCCTATTTTCAAATTGTTCTGTTTTACCAATATATAATCACACATTCTACAAAACTATTTTTTACCGACTAAGACTTGAATTATCAATACGGCAGTGGTGAAAAGTTCAGATGGATTTATCAAATATATGCCGTGCCTGTTTGTCGCCGGAAGATCGGGTGCATCTGCTAGATTGGTATCAGCCTGTTGACTCTTTGGATATATCATACAAAGAGTGTTTTTGTAAATGTACACAAATTAATTTAAATTTGAAAGATTATCCAAATGAACTCGATGATGCCCGGATGCAATATCTATGCCTTGATTGTGCCCAAAAACTTAAAGACGTTTATGATTTTATTGAAAAGGCGAGAAGGGCTGATAATGAATTACGTTGCACACAAACGGAAAAAGTGAAGATAGAAAGTATAGCCAACACTTTTGAATGGGTTCCAGTACATGAAGAGCTAATGGAAGTAACTAAGATGCCAGATACTGTAGATATGGTATATCAAATACGATTTAGATATAATTAAACAATAATTATTTTCTATTTGTTTACAAGGATCACGTAGAGGATATAAAAGTATCACCAGAATGGAATGAACATTTTATGAATGATGATGAAACATCTGCATCAAATGATATCGAACACGAAATAAATATTGATAAAAAACTTAGTACTGACACTACAACAACAAGAAAGTTTCTAGTTTAATCGGATAAGGATATGCAGAGCGGCAATAACTTAAATGAAGCTGGGCTGGTCTTATCGAAAAAAGTAAACAACTCAATCTTGCTCATACAAAACCTAAAAACGTAAAGAAAACAAACAAAGTAAAATCCGAGGTGAAAACAAAAAAGAAAGTCAAGGACATGTCTGAGCCGGTGAAGTGTGAAGAATGTGGGAAAATAATGAAGAGAAGCTCATTAAAAAAACATAAGCAACGTCATAAACCAAAAACTTTTCTTTGTCAGGCCTGCCGTAAGTATTTCCGTTCCTTTTAACTTGTGGACTAATTTCTATCTTTGTTGAATTTACCTTCGCCAGCAAAAACATTTAAGGAGTCATGTGCCCTAAAAAATCATGAGCTCTGTCACAATGAGAATCGGGAAAGATTTCCGTGCGACATCTGTAACCAAAGCTTTTTAACTCCGTATACATACAAAAAACACAGGCTAACGCACGAAACCAACCGCAAACCAATATATCAATGTGCTCAGTGTGAAAAATCATGTCTTCATAAAAATGGTCTAACAATCCACGAGCTCCATCACAAGGGAGCTACGATAGAATGCCAAGTTTGTCAAAAACGTTATGTGCGGCAAATAGACCTAGATGTTCATTTACGCACTCATTCTGGAGAATCCTCATTTGTGTGTCACCTTTGTGGAAAATCTTTCATCTACAAACGTATTTTAAATAGGCACATGCAGTACCATCGATATTTCAGTTACAAGTGCGTGATTTGTGGTTCTAAATTCTCCAAATATGATCAATACTATAATCATCGCATGCAACACACTGGATTACCTTATAAATGTGGCGTTTGTGAAAAGCAGTTTCCAGATGCTTACAAGTTAGTAATAAAGTATGATTATGCCCTACATGTACATATATGTATATGTGTATGTATATAATTTTTCAGGATTAAGCGTCATATAAGAGGTGTGCTCAAACATTCCCACGACAGCCGGTTCTACGTACCGGAATGACTCGGGTTTCACCCGACCAAGGGCTGTTTTTTCGGCGATCTAACCCCGTTTAGGTCGGCGAAGTATCTCAGAAGTTGTCCGTCCATAGGGTAACATTCACTACGCATTCTCCTACTCAGGGCTGGCATCGAGTCAAACCCTGGGCCAGAAATATACACCTGCTGTGTATGCCGAAGACGATTACACCACAACTCCACCTCAGTCAAGTGTAATGCCTGCGAGGGGTGGAGTCACCTCAGGGTCTGCTCGGGACTACGGACACACAGACAGTGGACCACGTCTTACGTGGCCCCCTGTTGCTCAAACAGAGCAGCCTCCACGGCAAACGATAGTCCGCCCGTGCAGCCCCACACACTCACACAGCAACCACACACAGTCGCCACTACACAACAACATAATAACACCACAGACCGTACCATAGCCACCACAGACCACATAACACACACAACTGCACCACCACCCACACGCCGCCGCCAACAACTCCTGGTTCCCCCTACAATCTGCACGGTATGTCAGACCAGAATATTCCGTAATGTGACATCAGTCAAGTGCAACACCTGCCTTGGGTGGTGCCACTTTAGGGCATGTTCAGGTCTGCGTACCACGCGAGATTGGACGGGGAATTTCGAGGGCCCGTGTTGCGCTGCTCGGTCGCAGACGTCAATTGCGACGCCCCCCCACCACCACCACAGGGCGGCAACCACCTCAGCAGCACACACAGCCAACGGCGGCAAGAACATACACCTCACTCACACCCCACATCACGACACGTCTCCCGAACCAAATGAAGCTCCTCCAATTCAACTGCAACGGGCTACAGAGCAAGATTGAGGAGATAACCGTCTTCATGTGTCGGCATGGTATATTAATAGCTGCGGTCCAAGAGACGAAGCTGCACAGCAATTCAACTTTGTTGAATTGCGCCGGGTACAACGTGCACCGTCGAGATCGCGAGCGAGATAATGGTGGTGGCTTAGCGTTCATCACGCACCACACCGTGCAGTATCGTCTTATCGAAGCAGACATCGACCGCAGGGGTACCACCCTAGAATGTCAGGGCATCGCTATCCGGTCAGGCGATGTCGAGCTCGAAATATTTAACATTTACATACCCCCTGTCACCTGCTGCCCGGCAGGATATCACCCTGATATAGGTGCGCTCCTCAGAGGTGAAAACCGTATGGTAGTAGGTGACTTTAATGCGCACCACGATCTTTGGCACTCAAGCCTGTCAAACGATCGTAGGGGAACAGACTTGGATGAGCAGATAGACGATTCGACATTCTGCACAATGAACGACGACGCACCCACCAGGATTATGGGTAACTGCAGTAGCTCGCCAGACATCACAATAGTCAGCGCTGGTCTGATAAACAGCATAACGTGGCGACCTATGCTGACTCTAGCATCAGACCAGCTACCCATAGTCATCTCGATTGATAAACCAACCGACTTTGCCTCCGCCAAACACCGGACCTATATCAACTTTTCCAAAGCTGATTGGAAAGGTTACGCGGAGTTTACTGAAAACACCTTCGCAGCGCTCCCCACACCAACCGACGTCCATCTCGGTGAACGTAAGTTCCGCAGGGCTATCACTGCTGCTGCAGCTCGCTTCATACCGGCAGGATGTATATCGGACCCACGTCCAAACTGCCCTGCCGAAGCGGCTGTTCTAGATGATGAGCGTGATAGCCTTCGTCAGGCCGATCCCGGAGATCCCCGTATCAGGGATCTCAACGCGGAGATTCGGCAACTTGTAAACGTACATAAGCGGAAGAAGTGGGAGGAGCATCTGAAGACCTGTAACTTCACCTCTGGTGTGAGCAAGCTTTGGTAAACTGTGAGGTCGCTGTCCAATCCGACGAAGCAAGACGACACAGTCGAAATTTTCTTCGGCGACCATGCTTCGTCGGACCCGGAGCGATGCGCGAGCTATTTTAGCCGGCAGTTCATACTGCATCCTCCAGTAGACAAAGCCAAGCGTCGAGTGACCAGAAGGCTGCACAAACTGCCAACAAATTGTGCTTTCACTTGCGGTGAAGTTCAGGTGGCCATCGGGAAGGCGAAAGCCTCCAAAGCCATGGGTCCCGACGGAATATGCATGCTGATGCTGAAAAATTTGGGTCCTGCGGGGGTAGCGTACCTAACGGAGGTCCTCAACCTGTCAATGGCCACTCTCATCATCCCAGACATCTGGAAGGTGGGGAGAGTGGTCCCACTGCTCAAACCGGGGAAACCCGCCAACAAAGGAGATTCGTATCGTCCGATTACACTCCTTTCCGCGGTAGCGAAGACACTCGAGGCCTTGCTACTCCCGTACTTCACAAACCACCTGACCCCAGCGAAGCATCAGCATGGTTTCCGTAAAGTGCACAGTACAACAACAGCACTTAACGCCATAAACACTCAGATAACTCGTGGCCTTAACCGCAACCGTCCCTGTGAGAGAACGATTCTAGTAGCGTTGGACTTGTCAAAGGCGTTTGACACCGTCTGCCATTCCACGCTGCTAGAAGTTATAGAGGCCTCCTCTCTCCCACAGAGGCTCAAACGGTGGTCGGCAAATTATCTGAGTGGTCGACATTCGTCGGTAACATTTAGAGACAAAACGAGTAAGCAGCGAAAAATAAAACAGGGGGTTCCTCAGGGTGGTGTCCTTTCGCCGCTACTGTTTAACTTTTATATTTCAAAGCTCCCTCAACCACCAGAGGGAGTCTCGATTGTCTCCTATGCCGACGACTGCTCGATCATGGCGACTGGGAATGGAATTGATGACCTGTGTTTGAAAGTAAACGGCTATCTCTCCGAACTTTCTCGCTTCTTCACTGCAAAGTGTCTAGCCCTCTCCCCTACGAAATCCTCCGCGACCCTGTTCACAACCTGGACGAAGGAGGTCAGGCTACCGCTGGGGATTCACGTCGATGACACACCAATTCCGACGGTGAATAACCCCAAAATACTCGGAGTAACATTCGACAGCCTGCTCTCCTTCTCTGCGCACTCAACCGCTATTGTCAATAAAGTACAGAGCCGCAACAAGGTCCTCAAGTCGCTAGCCGGCAGTACTTGGGGCAAAGACAAAGAAACGTTGCTGGCAACATACAAGGCAATAGGCCGGCGGGTTTTGAACTACGCAGCGCCAGTGTGGTCGCCAGGGACTAGTAGGACGCAGTGGACGAAGCTACAGACGGTACAAAATACGGCACTTAGGACACCGACGGGATGCCTCCTGATGTCGCCAGAACACCACTTGCACGGCGAGGCGCAAATGCTCCCAGTTAAGGAGCACAACATAATGCTCTGCAAGCAGTTCCTGATCGGGAGCCACAGAAGTGGCCACCCAAACAGACAGCTGCTTGCAGAGGAGCCCTCGCCTAGGCACGTCAGGAGGCATCTATATGAACTGACGGACGAAGTCCAGAGGTTCATTAAGCAACCTCTGGACCCAACAGCGTACAGACAGGCCCTGAACGGCATTCACAGGGACTCAGTCTCGAGTTATGTAGACTCTAGACCTGTGAATGCCGTTCTAGGCATACCACCCCCGGACATTGACGAGACAGAGCTTCATCTGCCTCGGGAGACACGCACTACACTCGCTCAACTTCGCTCCGGCTACTGCAGCAGGTTAAACTCCTACTTGAGTAGGCTGAATGAGGATGTGCCGAACGAATGTCCGGCATGCGGAGAGACCCCACATGACTCGAACCATCTCTTCGCATGCCCGGAGAACCCGACAACCCTAACGGCCTTGTCCCTGTGGACAGATCCCACAGAAGCTGCACGCTTCCAAGGGTTGCCGTTAGTGGAACTTGACGACAACGACTGAGATACCAACCGATCTGGGCGGGGTTGTTGTAGCCGCTACAACAACAAC